AATATGCAATTCATTTTTTGGAGTGTTTTTTAATCTACTAGCTGTAAAATATTGAACCACTTTGCCTTTTTCCTCTTTATTAGAGTGTGCAGATTTCTTTCATACTAGAGATGCAATTGTTTACTTGTTTCTTTTTACAAACCACCCTAACTGATAGAAACAACAAATGTCATAGAAAAATAGTTTTGTCAAAGTCATAAATTTTTCCTCTAATTTGAATTCAACCTTAGGGCTGATGATTGTGTTAAATCCAAAATGAGATAAAAAGCAATTAGGAACTGCCACTTCAATTTCAAGTGTCCTTCTTAACTATTTCTGTTTCCTTTCTTTTCCCCTTTTGTCTTTGCTTCAAAGTGAAGTAAAACTCACAATTTTGCTTGATTTTGAGACCTGTTAAGCTACATTTGCTTTGCCTGTGTTTTTCTATTGAATTCTGAGTCCAGTTCGTATTTCAGAGCCAGCTCCTGGTGGCCTGGGAATTACAAATGCCTTGGCACTAGAACAAAAGAAAACTACTTGGTGAACTCTGGGAAATCTAAACTCTTTTTCATATTTCCAGTCCAGAGAGCAGCCCAGCTTATAAGCAGTTCCTTGAGATAGGGAGTTACAAAATTTAGTTTATGTGAAAATATAAACTGATTCATTTCTTCTTTGTACCACACAGTGATTCTTTCTCTTCTTTTCCCTTTCCCATTCCTCACACGAGCACTAAAATAGGAATGGAAACCATTGGAAACTGAGTTCTGTGGAGAATGAATGGTTCACATATCTTTCAGAAAGGACTAATTATATAAAATAACCACTTGAAAATTCACTGGCTTATTTCCTTTACTTTGGGAAGTGCCCTCTGCATCTCTCAGGCTCTTTTAGGTAGCACGTAGTCACTGATGTTCTCTACTTTGAGTTGCATGTAAGTCTCAGTCTCTCTTGACATTGTGATCCCTACTACAAGGTCTTTGTTATCTTCCCCATCCACCTAGAAGATCCTTTTTGGTCTTTCATTTGCTGGTTCTGACAGCAGGACTCAGTTTACTGGCCTTGCTGGTGGTTTCTTGCGTGTTCCAGCTTCCTTATTCCTCTTCTGCTAGCCTGCAAACTGCTGGGAGCACTCACCTGTGCAGAGTTCCATGGGAGATTTTGTTCTGAAAACAAAAGTGGATTCTCCTTTCTGTAATTCCAGTAACAGGCCATGATTTGTTTAGCTTTCAAAAGAAGAAAAGAAAGAAATGGAGGGTTCACGTCAGTCAGTCTGCATACCTTTAAACAAAAAAAAAGACAGGGAAAAATAGACCGGAAACAACCTAAATGAAACCCAGCTAAGAAGAACCACGTAGAACACAGGATCACCATGAAAACAACTGGAAAGAAAGAGCTGGATCCATCTCAGCACAGCAACTCCATGGGCTTTCTGAAAGACTTCTGTAGGTGAATTTCCATCGCCTGAGTGACCTGCATGGGGGCCTGCACCATAATTTTCCTCACTGTTTACCTGGGTGGTAGGAGCAAAATGTTGTGATCACCAATGATTACATTGTTGACCCTTCTTGAGTTCTTACTTGTCTGCTCCAGTGTTCCTTTATGTCCTAGGTCCCATGGGGGAGGAGAGACAGCATGTTCTTATTTGTCAGTGAAACCGAAACCACATATTCCTTCAAACTACAGTTGAAATTGCAAGTTTCTTTCTGTGTAGGAAAATGAAGTTGGTCATCTACTAATTTCAATGTAAAATGAACAAGATCAATTCCATAGGTCTCTTCTGGTTGAAGAATAGGCAGTGTATCATTTTAGGAAGCTCTGTCTCACAGTGTCTAAGTTGATAGATAAGTGGTAGACATGGAAATCTCCAAGAAGAGGTGAGCACAGACCATTACTTGCTTAGAGGACCGCATGGTGAAATCTATACCATCCCGGGGAACAGCCTGCTTAGCAGGGGGAGGAATGGCTTGTATCCTTTATAAACATTAGCTCCAAGGCTTCTGCTTCAGAACTGAGAAAAGCAGCAAGGTTGATCAAACTGCTGTTTTATTTTGCAGAGGGCCGAAATGCAACTGTTACTCTCAGCTAGCCAGATTAAAGGCTTTTGTTTCATTCTCTGGAATTCTTGCAATTGCAGAAGTTGCTCTTTTTTCAATTAGCAGCACTGTTACTAAATGAGCAGCTGGTGGAAGAGCATTCACAGAGCTTTCACATAAAGCTTTCAAGTCTCTTACTGTTGGCTTAGTTAGGGCTTTCTTCATCACAAACATGAGCAGATTTATTGTCTTCGTCAAGGAGCGTGAACAAAAGTGATAGTGCTCACCAGGCACTTCGTTTTCTCAATTCTATTCAATTTTAATTGTAACTAGTGAAAAGAATGCTACATTTCTAGGTCGTTGTTCCAGGAAGTGTTTTAAATAGAAGTACCCTCCAGCGCTGTTCAAAATGCAATCTAAATAATGCAAGATTGTTAGCAGAAAATACAACATTATTAAATAGCACCAAGTAATGGTCAGCTATTCAAAGTCATTATTCTTGATTAGCCTGGATCATTATTATTGAGAACGTGACCAAATTTGCCATCATAGCACTCACAGTTTTTCAGGTAAGTTAAACAATCATTTCAGATTAATTGCTGTTGATTATACTCAGTCATACTCATACTTTGTGGATTTTAGGGCTGAAATTTTCTGAATATGTTTTGTTTTCTCCTTAAAAAAAGGCAGCCCTTTTCCAAAGCATGTACTTTGGGGAAGAGCTGACTTATGTTCCCTAAAGCATGAATAACCCTAAAGTTATGAAAAACTCAGCTCAAATTATGTGTCTATTTTAGTCCAGATAACTTTTTTTTTTCTCAAGTCAAATAGTGTAATTCATGTAGTTTGTGAGGATGAGACTTTTCCATACTCTCTCAACTGAACCAGAGCATGGCATCGGACAAAGAGAACCCTTCCTCCCTGAGACAAGGAACAGAAAAAAGACCTGCTGGTTTTATTACATGAGTGTTCGTGTGATGTTTTGAAGAGAATGGAGTGGGACGGGGAAGTGTGCTGCAAATTCAGTATTTCCTGCAGTGTATTTCCATGTCGATGGCATTTGCTGTTCACGTGGGCAGTGCGAAATCAGATAAAGGGCTGATCTAAAATTTGGAAGGTGACTTTATCGTTGTGACTTGTCCTGCATGCCAGGTGTCTCTTTGTGCTTCAGTTTCCCTCTTAGAAGTGAGAGGAGCAGCCGTGCCCAGCAGGGCAGATGGCCCCGAGGGGAGGCCTGCTGTCAGACACTGGGATCAGGGGTTCTGCTGAATGCCCAGCTCTAACAGTGCTGAAAGATGAAGGTTTGAGAAGATTGCCTGTCGATGTGCCATGCAGATACTGTCTTCTGCACATAGTGCTCACGGCATGCCTTTGACGAGATGCCGTTTGCCCAGTGTTCAGTCAGCACTTGTTCAGTGGGAAACATAGAGCTGTAACGAAGAGCCCATAATAGACCTTTCTACTTTGTTCCCACCACAGGCTCACTTGACAGGGTGATGTGTTGTTCAAACGATGCCTGCGAAAAGATCTCTTTTGGAGCGTAGTGGATTTTTTTAGTTTGTTTTATTCAGAAACATTGTCATGAGTCTCATTGGAGGGAGCAGGCATCTAGTACCATTAGTGTCAAGGTCTGACTGACAGATCCCTTTCCAGGTGCATGGGGCAATTGTAGTCTGCTGTGCCTTTGCCTCAGCTGAAGTTTGCAGCTGAGCTGTGATGGAAGAAGTGACAGCAAAGCAGTAATATCTTCTGCGAGAGCTCTCCTCAGCTCCCTTTGATGGGTGTAACCACCCAGCATGTCAGACTTACTCCGGGCTTTTTGGTTATGGTGTAGTCAATTAAAGTGACAAAATGATGTATGATGGGAGGAAGAGCCTCATTATATTGTCACTTGTGCTCTGTAGTTGGCTTTTGAAGAACTCTGTTTGCCATCACACCTAATGAAGGCCAGAAGCTGACAGTGTGGCTTGTAACAATCCTGTGCAAAGTGCAAACTCTTTACAATAACCCCACCAGAAACTTCTTTTTTACTGTGCATCTGATAACTCTGTTAAAGATGTGAGTCTGAAGGAATTTAATTTAATCCTGTTTCCATTATTGTGAGGCACAGGAGTTGGTTGTTTATGTTTACTCTGACCTGATATTAAGAAAAACTGAGCTCAGAGAACTCACAAGCCACTTGCATAGATTTAACCCCTAGGGATCTTTTGTGAGGGAGCAGGCAATGGTTTTAGTTGTTAAGGGATTGCATTTTTCAGTACTTAAAGGCCAGAATGTGTTGGTGAAAGCACCCAGTCTGACCTGTTCCGTGCCTGTGCTGGGTGTCTGTGCTTGGTGTGGGCTGCAGGGCTCAGTGAGGAGAGGCCTGGATTGCCCTTCTGTATTCCAGACCATGAGCTTTTTCTCCTCCCTGTCCACCCGAAGAGGAGGGAGAAAGTAGCTGGTTGGGGGTTGGCAGCAAGAGGTCAGCCCACCATGATACTGCACACTGGGGGATTTTACAGAGTAGCTCCTTCAGAGGGAGGAATTCTGTTTGATGTGATGTAACATCCAGAACCAGCTGCCTAACCCTTCTCAAATGCTAAGTGCTACATACTAGAGTGAAATCTGAAGGTGAGAGAGGAGGTGTGCTTGTGGCACGTATAGGGAATAAGAACAGTGAGTAAGTGCATTCAAGGTTTGAGGTGGCACCACTTTCCTGTGTTCATAGGCTTGGAAGGTGAAAGAGCTGCTGTGCTGGCAGCTCTTGTCAGCAAAATTTCTACAAGGTTCTTCATAGTAAGCCAGAAATGAACCTCCATGTCTTCTAGTAGTTCCTTTGTGCTGAAAATGCACAGTATGACAGCCACTGTTTGAATGTGTCACTGAAGTGTTTGTGAAGTGTTTGTGAAGATCAGTGCTTAACGAGGTGATGTGATGAAATATAGTATAAAAAAAAAAAGAGAAAGAAGGAGTGAAGTAAATGACAACATCTTTCTGTCCCTGCAGAAACTCAACGTATTGCATGAAGGTGTCCATGTCCTTGACGGTAGCTGAGAATGAATCTGGGCTTTGCTACAACAGCAAGATCAGATATCTGGAAAAATCAGAAGTTACCAAAAGAAAGACAATCTCCTGTCCTGATATCGAGGATTACAAAACAGACAGTCAAGAGCCAGATGTTGTATGGTACAAGGTAACTCTTGCTGTGTCGTTGGTATTGTAATTAAACTGTACCTAATGTCCACTGTTTCTAGTTTGAGGCTTAGAGATGGCCTTCTCTGAACCTGCAGTAGTTTCTCACTGGGTCTGGAGGATGCTCTCCCACTGTTACAGGAGCAATACCGAACTGCAGGCAAATTACCCAGCATAGCCATTGACCCACAAAAAGCAGCATTAATGAGGGTGTTCTATTCTGAAGGTTATGTGGTTTCTGTAACAGCAGAACAATATTCCCAAACCTGTGCCTCTTTACCAGTTTCCACCCTGATGGGTTGTCTCCATAGCTGGTGCCACCCAGTTAATTATTAGGAGGTCTGTAGGGTACCTTCATCAGGGCCTGTTAAGTTTTACCAAAGTCTGCTGGGTAATTTCACAGAGATACTTGTACTTTTGTGGAGGTTCACTGAGTAATTTTACATATGTTGGTTAATTTTAACTAAGATTTACTAGGAACTTGTACTACTCAGCAGGTAACTGTTCTGGCTGTGCCTTCTGCAGGGCTTTCAAGAATTGCCCAGAACTTTCAGCAGCAAATGCATACATGATGTGTTACTGGAGCTTCGCAAAGAACAGGAGAATGACTAAAATGCAGGTTGCCATGCAGACCTTACTAAGATCCTGGCAAATTTTACTCACTGACTGAATATGGACCAGGATTTGGTATTTGAAAAGCCCTCAGGTGTTACAGAACCATAGAATCACCAAGGTTGGAAAAGACCTTCAAGATCATCCAGTCCAGCCATCTGCCTGTCACCATTATTTTCTCTGAAACATGGGACTGAACCATGTCCCTTACTTAATACATCAAAACATTTTGCTAAGGGAACTGTAGGAAACAAAGGGAAGGAGTGAAGAGATGGGAGTCAGAGGGAAGAAGAAATAGTACTTGGTCAGGGGGAAGAGTTTGGTGAGATTGGTGGGAAAGAATTTGGATTGCAGTGATAAAAGGGTGATGAGTTTTGGACAAACTTGGCAGAAAATGCAGGAAGAAGTTAAATCCTAAATTTTGAGTGCTTGATTTGGCAACCTTAACAGCATTCTTTGAAGGTTGTTTCTTTTAATATGAAGTGTTATGTGCAGAGCTGCAGATTTTTTTTCTTCCTTTGTGGGATGGAGCAGAAAAGAGCAATTTTTGAAGTTGTCATCTACTTCTATTTTTTACAGAAATCTCACATGTTCAAGCTTATAGTAACAAAACATGCCATAACCCACTGTTAGTATAAACAAAATTTTTCTTTCAGCCACTGGAGCTATTTCTTTCAGCATATGGGTGGATATCTTCAGTGCTGTTCATGCATAAAATATTTGTGCTCAGTTGAATCTGAAATCTTGATAGAAAGAAGGTACCAAAGAGAAGCTGCTTCTTCTGCCATCCGAGAACAGGAGAGAAAGGGTGTTTGGTCCATATAGCCACACGTGTTGTCTGGGTTGCTCAGACAGGTTTTGTGCACCAGCTGACTGACAAGTCATCACCATGGTGAAATTGATGTGAATTGATATGGTTGGCTGCTAAGAGGCAATTGAGGTCAACAGCCTTTAGTCTGGCTTGATAATGTAAAGAGACATTAATGGAATAACCCACTACGTACAACTCCTTATTCATAATTAACAATAAGGTGCTATCACTTCAGTTCTTGGATAATGCTTATATTATCTGGACCTGGGTCAGGAAGCTCAGTAATGTAAAATGTCAGTATTAATGTCATGTAGAAAGTTATGTCAGGTTATTGCTTGAGACACATTTCTGCAACAGCATTTTGAAAAAACATTCTGGATGGTACTGTGGTGCTATTAGTAGAAGTCTGCCTAGACTTTTAGACACAAGAACCACTAAAGCCCCTAAAAACTGTGATCTGGAACTTAAGATCATACTGTACAGTAAATGTGTCCCTTCTCCCCAAAGTGATATTGCAGTATAAAGCATGACCCTCATCTTCTAAAGAAGGCATCTGTTTCCAGACGTCTTACAGCAGGTCTTCAGCTTATCACCCTCTGACTTTGTGATTGAGTTTAATGTGTAGATGAAGGTATTATTGGCCATCTTCCCGTGTAAATCTGCTGCAGAGTTGTTGGAAGGGAATTGCTTTCCATTATGCTGAACTGTTTAGAGAAGATTTTCCAGGGGAGAGTGTAAGTTGTCCAAAATAGAATAGAAGAGAAGTATATATGAGGAAGTTCTGAGGTTTCCTCCTTTGTAGTTACCTGAAAATTAAATTCTATGTGAATTTCTCTCCTTGTGGAGGGAAGCCGTCAGTCCCTGGTAGCTGGGGAATTTGGATTGTGACTGGTGAACCACTGTCAGCAAAGACAGTAATGCTACAGCTCATGGTTTGCAGGGCTCTCTTGCCTTCCAGAAGCCTTCTCTGTATGGAGAGATTAATGAATCTGAGCCAATAATTGCATCAATTTAGAGGGAGTTAACTGTAATTTAAATACGCTCTTAAAATAATTATGCTTGAATAGATTTCCACACACACACCCAGTGAGGAATGATAAAACATTTGCTATCAGGGCTTGTTTTAACAGTAGTTTGAACTTCACTTCTGGCTGTGAAATAATTCTTTGGAGAGATTTCCACAGTTAGTGCCACTGATACACACACTGCTCCCTTACACTCATTAGAACTGTTTTGACAAGCAGTATAAGCATGTTGTTTTTAAACAGATGTGTGCATGAAGGCATGATTGAATCAGTGGGTTTTAACAGGAAGAACAGTTTCAGGAAAAAAAAAAAATCAGCTAGCAAATAAAAAATGCATTTTTTTAGGTTCTTCACCTGTGTACTTTTAAAAATAAATATACAGAACATAAAACTGGTAACATATTTATGACAGGGCCTTCTAGTGCTGCTCTGCAAGGATGCATGTTTGAAATACACGTGCTGTGTGTATTCCTGGAATTGTATTCCTCCTAAATTAGGGTTGAACAGAGTTCTTTGCCCGTCAGTGTTCAGATTCAGTCACTCCAGGTAGGTGGCTGATGCAACTCCATTCTGCTTTGTAAATAGGTCTAAAAGCTGTAGATCAGAAGGGGTCTGAAGGGCATTTTCCTGCTCAGATCTGTTTCCCACATAAACCTCAAACCGTATCAATGTCATGCAGCAACAAAAATAAGCTCTGATTTTTAGCACAGTAGATAGGATCCGGGTTCAGATCATCCCGTTCAGCGCTGTTAACTACAGGTCCCATGCAAGGCAATGTTAGGGACTTTGCAGAACAGTAGATAGCATGAAAGCTGAGACCTGCAGTGGGATTGCATGGTTTAGGTATTCTTTATTTGACTATACTGAAACTGAATTTGACCTGTTAGAGATAAGGATAAAAGTCTTGGTGCCTCCAGATGCAAGGCGAGAAGCTCACAGTCTCGCTTTTCAAACCCGTTATTCTCCTTTAACTTACAATCTGACACTGAGGATTTGGAGCATATATGGAGTCTCAGGAGGAAAAAAAAAAAAAAAAAAAAAAGGATATTTATGTCATTTTGATCTTTTTCTGTCATACAGCAGATTTGCACGTCATTGTGTTTCCTTGTTTGTTTCCTTAAAAGAAAGCTTTGTTCTGCTTTGTTTGCTGTGTGTCTGACAACACTGCTGCAGACAAACAGAAAGTGGGACGTAGACGTGGGCTGTTGGGGTGAATCTCTGAGACTGTGAGGCTGCTGAAAGTGCAGAGCCTGCTGCTGATGGTATTGCAAGATTGTTAGTTGTGCTTTGAGAGCTTGTTCTGTGTTGCCTGCTCAAGAGAGAGGAAATAAATTGCATTAAAGGTACTTGGGTCCTAATTGTGTTGCTTTGTGTACTTTGGGCAGCAGAATGAACCAGAGCACGGAGCGTTTCAGAGAACTTTAAAGCATGGTTTTGTTCACAGGTGGTACATTCTCGATGCTAAAGCTACTAAGAAGGAATAAACATATACTCTGAAGGTACCATTTTGAAATGATTAGATTGTGCCCATACATTTGGTTCAGAGCATTCCAAGAGGTATTCAGTCGTGAGTACCATGATGGCGGATGGGAACAGAGCTGGCTGCAAGGATCATAGTACATTAGGAAGGGGAAAGCTGTGTGTCTTGCACGCTCTGCAGAAGGACTCAAATACTGCAGCAGGACCACGATGCATAGCAATGAACCTAAACTAAGGTCTGGCTGGGAAAGTCGGTGAAAGTTGCAGACTGTCAGTACCGTGCACACCATGAGATGACGCACTTGGGGGTGATACTGCAAAGAACCCAGTTACAGGAAAAGGCTGAATCAGAGCTCACACCTCATTAGATGCGAGAGAAACCAGTGAGGGGACACAGGGACCAGAAGGAAACCGGGTTTCTTGAATTATCTTGCTCACAAAACTGCTGCTGTTCTTCCTTTTTCTTCTGTTGGTAAATGAGGCTGTGACTGCGTGAAGTTTGTCTCCAGGCTGACTCTTAACAGATGTTGCCTATACTCCCTTCAAACAGAGATGTATTTTAATGGTCCATCTTAAAATAAACGTGTTGGCAGTTGTTCGTCGCGAAATGAGAAGATACTTAACCATTGCTTCAGAGCATCAGATATTAAACATGGCACATGTGATACAGTGGGAATTACTGAACTTTAAAAGCATTTCTGTTTAATTTCTGTCTTCAAATTAATTCCAGTTTCAGATCTCTATGCCTTCTGAAATTATATTCAAATTTGAATTGCAAAATATGCTGAGATGGTTGTTTACATATGTATATAATACTGAAAATCTGATCAAACAACACAGTCCTATGTCATACAAGCTGGGTAATTTTAGCAATGAATTTTTATTCCACAGGAATGTAAGCCAAAAATGTGGAGAAGCATTGTAATTCAGAAGGGAAATACACTTCTAATACAAGAGGTCCAGGAGGAAGATGGAGGAAATTATACCTGTGAACTGAAGTTTGAAGGCAAGCTTATACGAAGAACGGTTGAGCTGAAGGTTACTGGTAAGAACCTTTGTTTTGTGGCTATTTAAAAAAAAAAAAAAAAGTTTTATAATAAATGAAAGCAATATTCACATGTTGGCAAATATTTGGTAGAAGAAATTCCAAACCAAATCTCAGTAACCAAGCAGTTTCAGACTAGGGGAAATTTAGGTCCAGACTTACAGAACTTCACAGAAGATTGCTCCTACTTTTTGTTCCGTGCAAAACCTGGAGATTCAAATTATAAGATGAAAGACAGACATCAGCTCACTCCATATGCTGGAGAAAGTTCCAATTCCAGTTGCACCTTTAATATTAACATAGAGGAGAGGTTAAGTGAAGCTATCTGAAGAAACTTCTGGTGAGGTTTGTCTGGAATTAAACACAGCCAAAAGAGATGTCTTGAGTCATGAATTTATTGTTCCGTATTTTTTATCTTTGGCTTAATTTATGATGGTCAGCTCCTTTAGTTTTTCCTCTAGGTTTTCTTTACTGCAGAGTGTGGCACAACCTATTCCTAGGCTGAAAGTAGGAACACTGGACTGTAGGAGGAAAGGAACATGCTTATCAGGGGGATCATGCATTTTGTTTCTGAGTCCATGTAATAGTCTACTTAATGGAATGGGACTTTTCCATTTCTTTTGGTGAGGTATCAAAATTGAACGTATTGCCTATCCGTATATTCCTGATTCCTTTCCATGCCACTGTGCAGTATGACATCTATAATTATTATTTGTCTTTGGCATCTGTGGAACATTGCAAGTGTCTGAAAATAACTGTTTTTTTTTCCCAACCTTTTGCACACAACTATACAAACAAATGGTTGTTTTTTTTGTTTTCTTGTCTGTTGTCTGACATACAAATTAAAATGCAGTCCTACATAAAGCAGTGACAAATAGAAATCTACTCTTTGGTATCAAACTGAACTAATCAGTATGGTATTTCTTATGTGTTCTTGAAATACAGTTCTTCCCTCTATTTTGAATGAAATCCTTTTTTTTTTTCTTATCACTGTTCCCTGTTTTAAATGAGTTATTTTCCCTATATGCCAGACTCATATATCATGTGATTCTTTATTGTCCATTTTTGACTGTGGACAGATCTCTGAAATATTGATTTGACCTACCTGACCCCAGGCCTGTCAGATGAAGATATAATACCTACCTTGTGGATAGCTGCTATCCTAGGTAGCGTGCTGGTCTTCAACCAGAATGTGAACTAAGTTTGACAAAGTGAAAATGAGATGCATCTAATTCAATTCCAGATGATGGATATTCTTTAAATAACAGCTTGCTCTGCCTCTCATCATGACCTTGCAAGAAGTGATGTGTTCTCTCTATTATATGAACAGTGTGTTATGTTAATACTTCACAATTTAATGACTTTGTCCTAAAATAACTGTAGTATGTGTTAAAGTTTTTCAGTCTATTAAGAAGATGTTATGATATGGATTATTAAAATTGTAAATATGACATATGCAAACGTTTTCTCTATCTTGCATGATGCTTGAGAACCAGGAGTTTGTTCCCTTGCAATTTGGTGTGGAATTCACATTAAATTAAATTTCCCCTCATTCATAAAGGCACGTGTGTTTATGTGTTACGTCCTCATCATTACAACCACAGCAGCAGAGTAGAAATCATCTCTATGTTTAGAAAAGATAGGCAATTTTTAACCAAACACTTCTTCCTGATTTAAGTGTTTGGGAGACATGGTGTATGTTGTGTGTTTGCCAGTTGAATCTCTCATTGTATGTGGAATAGGCTAGGAAGTTTATGTAAGTGATGATCTGTATATACTGATAAGAGCTAGATGTAACACACAGGACTGTGTAAGCATGTTATCATAAAGCTTGGTGCTTTGTAAAGTTTCTTTATCTTGTTTCTGGTCTGTGAATGCTTTATGCGGGTGGTTTTATCTTACCGGGGGAACAGGGTGTGAAAGCAAACTGCAGAGGGTCACTTGAGTGGTGCTGGTCAGGTCAGCTGGAGGGTCCTGAGGCAGGGAGATCACAGGCTGAGAGCAGGTGCATGGCATGACCAGGGACTTGTTTGAACAATATGGCTAAAGATTTTTCTTACATTTAAACAGAATTTATCATATAGCAGCTTGCTGCCTGTTCCTTCTTATTCTTTCACCAGGCATCTCTGAGATGGTTGGACGGAGTCTGCCTCCACCTTCTCTGCACCTTCCCACAGGTGTTTCTGCTCATGGATCAGTTTTCCCTGAGCCTTCTCTCTTGCAGGTGTAGCCACCTCAGATCTTTCAGCCTCTTCTTGTATGATAGATGCTCCAGTTCCTCAATCATGTTTGCAGTCCTTCACTGAACTTGTTCCATTATGTCCATGTCTGTCTTGTACTGGAATCAATGGTGCACTGGGCCCCATTATTTGCCTGTTTGAAAACTGAGTTCTCATCAAAATACATGGCTGTACCTGGAGGAGCCGGGGTGGAACCAGAGCTCAGGCTGCTGAACCTGCTGCTCTGTGTAAATCACTGTTCATAAATACTGCTGAAGGCTTACCAGCAAAGCCCTGGTAGAATTATCTCTGCTAGCTCGCAATGCAGATGTGGAGAAAAGGGTCTTGCCTGCTAATTTCAGAGGCTCTTTCCTCTTCAGGGACTTTCTAATGCTTTTTCTATTGCAGTTAATTATTAACATGCCTGAATTGGCATTTGTAAAAGCACAGCTGCCTGAGTTTCACTAACAGTATGGATTTTGAACAGCGAGATGCTGTTAGCCATTGCCAGCAGCCATGGTAACCTAAAATTGTTATTGAAGAGTAATTCTGACAGTGAAACAGGCAACCCTGCAACTCTCTCAAGCAAGGGAGCAGTTCTGCCATGTATAGAGAGGAACTTGGGTTCATTTCCCTGTGGCTTTTCAGGTGTTCTCTAAAACGTACACTGCTTGAAATAAGTAAGTTAAGTTAATGGAGATATATATAATGTCAGTCCTCTCTGCCTGCAAGCGTGTTGCAAGTGTCTGCTTTTGTGGGAATTATGTGTAGACAAGTGATAGAAGATGATCTCATGCGTTCTTTTCCTTGTGTTGCCAGAGCTGCCATGTTTGTACTCTTCAGGATAGTATCTTTCAGTGTCCAAAGGGAAAAACATAGGAAGAAATAGCAAAACTTGTATAGGATATGTATACTATGTTCAGCTGTTGGAACTGGATGAAGGTTGCATCTAATGAAACTAAAAGATCCAGAAAATAATTCATAGGTCATATAAAGATTCAAGGCTCTTTATGCAACAGATAGGACCTGCTAGTCTTTGGAAAACAGTTGCTGCTCACTTTCAGGCAGACTTTGGTTGCTGTGTTCTGCAGGAGAATGGACATGTCTTCTGTTTGGTGAAGTCTCCCAGTAACCATCAGCAAGGGCTCCTGCTGGCCCTGTAAAGTTGGCCTGAGCAAAGAATGACTGTTTATTTGGTATTCATGCTATGTTGCTTAAGCATTTATGTTAAATAGAGTCTGCCAGGTGATGCTTTGAATTAGAAGCAAACCTCTACACCTCTGTGATTCAATCGTTATTTAAGCAAGCTTCCAGGGAAGACATTGGAATTATGAAAAGGTGCTGCCTTACCTTCCTATACCAAAGTGAGGGAGCTGTTGGAGTGACTGTCAGGGAGGGAGCTGCAAGGACAGCATGTGCCAATCCTTGGGAACTGTTTTCCTCAGCTCCAGTGTTGCCTTTTTGTTTTTGCAGGCCGAAATGGAAGATCTCAGTGGCTCTGTTAGAGTTCTTACTCTTGGTTGGTAAGAAAACTTTGACACAGTTCAGGAGAAAAAGCTCACTGGTCTTGTAGATGAAAACTGAAACCCAACAACATAATGTCTGGCTATTTTGAGAAAGGATGGAGAGTTGTAATAGTAGAGAAAAAGGAGCATAAATCAAAAAAGGAAAACGTCATTTATAGAAATGGAGTACTGGGCATAGCTACCAGTGTTCTTGTGTGGGTTTGATGGTTTGAGGTATGGCAGACAATGATAGCGTCCTTTGGGGTTGCAAAGAAAAGGCTTGCAGCCTAAAATACATCTGAAAAATATTTAGAGACAAAGTATTTATGGAGAGAAAATCTTGAGCTCCAATACAGTGCTAACAAGCAATGGCTGCATCTTGCTGTTTGGGTGCATTTAGGAATAATAGATTGTCAACAAAACAGCTTTTTCATCGCTCGTTATTCATGGTTTTGCTATACTGTGCAGACAGATGTGAAACAAGTCTTGTCAGCCTTTTTCTCTGAATAAACATGACAACAGCATTATCGCTTAGTAAGTAACATGTAACTTCAGTCTGTTTAAAAATATATATATATACTTCTTCACTTTACTTTTTGGCATTTCTGTTGTGAGTTTAGCACCTGTGAGAACCTGACAAGTGAATAAAATGTCTGTCTCTACTGAGAGAGTAAATTAGAGCATGTCCAAATTGGGAAGAAAAAAAGCCAAACACACACAAAAACAAAAGCATAGTAATATGAAGATAATAATACCAAAACTTCTAATTTTTTTAATGCAGCTCCAGATAGTTGAGAATGTTGGATACATTATCTTAACACCTGTTAGTATTTACAAATGCCAGCATTTATTAAGGAACAATTAAATTATTTTACTGTTATTAATACTGCTACTGAAAACCTGAAGAAGTCATGTTGTGTTGAAAGGCAATTTAGCAACCTCCTGCCTTCTCTGGGCCAGCCAGCCCCTTCTGTCTGACAGATAAGAATGTTTTGATAGCTTTTGGGAAATACACCTGTTATGTTTGCCTGTTGCTTCAGCGCCTTTTTGTGTTTTGGAACACTAGTCTGTGAGGAGACGGGCCTATAAGAGATGTAAGTGGATGCGAGCAGGAGGCCAGGGAAAGGCAGGTCCTTGTGAGCAAAGAGCCAGCCCCAGTTCCTTGGACAACTCAGAACCCCCCTGGCAGGTGAGGCTGTCTGGCAGAGCCATGCTTTTCCATGGACGACTGTATTGGTGGAAGAGTTTGCCTTGATATGATTTGTGAAGTCTTGCT